CACGTCGGGAGGTCAACAAGACGGAAATAAGAAAGTCAATGCACCCAAGCAGCTGCATCTAGTCATGCTCTTCCAGGTTGTCGCCTTCCCAAGGGGCCATAACCAACACAGAGCTTGAAACGTCGGCAATAGAGGACAGAACATGGTAGCATGCTCTCCACCTCGCTTAATCAGAAAGGCTAAACTCGCAAACAGGGAAGAGAACCTGACTGATGGCTACACGTGCACATGTCCCCTAAGATTTGCTCCAAAAGGTCCCCTCACCCTGAGACAAGAGGGAAAGCTGTGCAGGTCAGCATATGGGAACCCCCCTTAAGGGTCTGAATGACCTATTTGAAGCAAATAGGGGAAATAGAGAGAATTGAGAAGGTTGAAGAGAGAGAATTGAGAAGGTTACACTTGATAAAAGTTGAGAAGATTGCATTCTGATCTAAAATTGTTACAACCATGAGGCATTCTAATCTAAGAGGAATTACGCAGTCGAAGTTACATAGTTGCAGTCTGATATAAAATTGTTACAACCATGTAACAATGAGTTGATAAGTTAAAAAAAAAAACTTGTTCTGCGTCCTAAGTTTCTGATAGAGGAATAAGGCCAGAGCTCTGTTGGTCAGTTGTCGGAGCTGGGGCAGAAGCAAGCTCGAAAGTTGAGCTCTGTTGGTCAGTTGCCGAAGCTGGGGCAGAAGTAGGCTCAGAAGCTGAGTTCTGTTGGTAAGTTGCCAGAGTTGGGGCACAAGCAAGTTCAGAAGTTGGAAGCTTAGCAGAAGTGATGGGCAAATCAACAGAGTTTGGGGAAGATCCAACGAGGAGAACTTCTGAATGTGGGGCCTCTGCAGAAGGTGGAAGAACTGAAGCCTCAGTGGCAAGGCCAGCAAAGGAAGGGGGCTCGGCAATAGGGACGTTTGAAGAGGCGGGGGGCTCACCTTCACCTTCTGCTTCAGCCACCTCTGTGTCTTCATCGCAGGGAACATCAAAGTCAAAATTTAGGCCAGGGTAGGCCTCTTCAACTTTTCCTTGGAAAGAAAGCCACCTAGAGACCTATTTGGTTGCAACATCATCCCGCAGCTTGACAGTGTCTTTGTTCTTTGCAGATATAGCAGCATTCAGCCCTTCAAGCTCGCTGCAAAGGGTGCCATTAGCATCAGATAAGACAACAAAATCTCTGGTTAAACTGGTGAAAGAGCTCTGAGCAGCAGAAGCCTCTTGGCTAACCTTGGCCCAAACATCCCTAGTCTTTTTCTCCCCCTCCTCAGCTTTGGCCTTCGTAGCTTCTAAGCCCTCAATGGTGGAAGCCTGTTTTCCCACTTTGTCTTGTAACTCTTGTAGCTGAGCTCGCAGATTATCATTTTCAAAAGCCAACTCGGCAACCTTAACTTCGTAAGCCCTCACCATTTTGGCAGAATTCTCCGCAGACAAGACCTTGTTCATCAAGATCTTGGCATGGATAGTAGACTTGGGGCAAGAGGAAAAGAGACAAAAGTTAGGAAAGTTCAAAAAGAAAGAGGAGGTCATAAATGTGAGCAAGAACTTACCGCAGTTAATCCGTGAAGAATAGAGCTTATTGAATCCTTTAGAGACAGTGAAAAGACCCTTTTTATATCAGCATTGGGAAGAATAGAGGAGAGGGCCCCTGTAGTAAGGTCGGGGTTATCAAGAAAGGAGCCCTCACTTTTGCCTGCCTTGACGAGCTCCTCCTTCACAGCCTTGGAACCCTCAGGAAGGGAACGATTGATTGGTGCAGCAAGCGAATTAAGAAAGGCCAAGATTCGGGAGGTCGTCTCCACTGCTCTCTCGACCTCAGAAGCAGAGGGGGTTGCCTGTCCTGACGCAGCAGCGCTTGAAGTAGCAGGAAAAGTGCCTTGGGAAGAGAAGTCTGGGATAACTGGAGCAGAGGGAGTGAGTGACATGCTTGTCCTTGGCACCATGGCAGGAGTGGAGCCATCGGCAGAGCTGGGTCCTGACTTGCGTTTGGCGCTGCTCTTGCTGCTACTCTTATTGCTACCCTTGATATTCTTCATTTGGGAAAGTTTAGCTCTGAGTTCAGCAACAGTGGGCTCCATTGACGATGAACTTGCGGGACCTAAGAATAGCTAAGCCTCGCCCTTAGACTGAGAAAATAGGAGAGAGGATACAAAGAAAAAGTGTTACCTGATATATTTTTGGCGGAAAGCGGGATGGGGCTAGCAACGAAAAGTGGAAAGAGAGCTTTAACCCTCACCTCAAGAAGGCAGAACCCCTGTTCTACGAGAGCCCAAGGTTGGATGAGCTCAAAATATTTCTCTAGATTGTACTTTTCCAATTTTCGCAATACTCGCTCCTCTTCAGCACTTAGCTCAGGTCAGATACCTAGAAAATCAAGGAAAACAAGAAATAAGTTAACAAAGTAACCAGACTTGGATGAAACACGGTCTGGGCAAAAACATACCCAAATTATCGGGGACAGACCACTCTGTAGGGATGGGGAGGGTATCAGCTTTATCCTCTGAGTTGAACTCCCACTGTGTACCGCCTATAAAGAAAAATCGTTTCTTCCAGCCCTTATGGGAGCTTGGGAGGTCAGAGATGACCTGCTTGACCTTAGTCCTTTTTGGAAATATACAGAAAGCCGTTAGAGGAGGTCTGCTTGACATTGAACAGCTCCATAAGTAAGGAAACAATAGAGACCCCAAGCTTATGGTCCTTAAAGAAGACTAGTAAACCCACAAGAACACCCCAGAAGTTGGGGGAGAGCTAGGCAGGGCAAACATTGAAGTGTTGAATGACAACTTTGATAAAAGGATGAATGGGGAAACGAAGTCCGTTATCAAAAGCTGCCAGAAAGAAACAGACCTTCTTATGGACATGGTGAACATATGTGGTGTACTCATCAGGACTCCAGGGCTGAACCCCTGGGGAGAAACGAAAATGAGCACTGAAAACCTTCAGGTCTATAGGGGTAAGTCCGCTAGAACCTACAAGTTCAGCGTTCCTAAAGGCAACCCCTACGTCTGAACCAATGACTCCCACACCACTCACCTTGCCCTTACCCTTGTCAGCACTAGGAGGTACACGAGAGAAAGATGATGGGATTTCCTTAGAGTCCACCTCAGTATCGGCAGCCTCAACACCGAGGAAGTTGTCAATCTCATCGCCTACATCCCCTAAATCAGAATCTCTCTCGGCAGACCTGTCGCCTAGGAGGGAAACAGATGAGGGAGTTGCTCCAGAGGAGGCAGACATGATTGGCAAAGAGAAAGGCAAGTTGAAAGAATTATAAAAAGGAGGAATACTAACTAAACACCCCCAAATAATCCTAGGGTCAGCGTTGTACCTCCCAACAATAAGAATTCGCATAGTAGAGTTCCAATCCACAAAGCGGGGAAGAGGAGATAGGCAACGATCGCGATTCCAAAAGAAAAAGAACTGAAAAACCCAGAAGAATAATGGCCACCTCGAAGTCGAGGGATCCAGAGTGAGGAAAGACAAGAGAAAGAGAAAGGGGCAGAAGGAAGCATATCTAGACAGGGAAGAGAGCAACAAACAGCAGCCAAAGAACAAAATTTGAGGAAAGGAACGAAGCAGGACTTCAAGTCGAACCCAGAAAGCACAATGTAGAGCAGAGAATAAGGGAATTGCGTGGAGGAAAGCCCAGAAATCACAAAGAGAAAGAATCGGAGATGAAGGTGAACAGTGTAGAAGATGGAAGGTGGTTTTGTGCGGTTTTCCTTTAGCCATTTGAGCATTTAAGGCTTAAAAGACATGGGATGCGGCGTGCGCGAGAACCAAGGGAGCCATGATTGTTGTAACCGTCAAAAAGCCCCTTCCACGTGCATCTCACATGCAGACTAAGGTCAGGTAGGCGCAAGTCTGGTCCAAGGTAAAAGTAGCTCAGCCCATGCCCAAGCTCGCTTGGGCCAAGGGCTGAGGGGCAACTGATGATACTTCAGAATAAATCTCAAGTGCCAGCCCAGGAGGTCAGATTAGACAAGCAGAACTCAAAAGAGTAGAGCTAGAGGTCCCTTCGAGCTCAGCAATGGCAATAACAACCAAGGCAACAGCTGAATAATCACGAGAGGTTTCTAAAGCATTAGAAAACTATAATCAAGGAACCTAATCTCAACCAACCAAGATCTTCTCCTAGAATTAGGGAAAATTCCACGAAGTCAAGCAAGAATCTCGGCCAGAATCCCACTTAACAGAGAATAACCCTATAAATACACGGTAAACACCTCCTAACAAGGAAAGAGGACCCTAGTGGCAAGAGGAAGTCACAACAGTTTTGTAATCATCGTGAATAAAACAGAAGGAATAAGAACCTCCATTAAAGAGTGGACTAATCGAGTTTCTGAGCCGATGAATCACTATATTTTTATTGTGTACACCCTTTTAATTTTTGAAATATTTTATTAGTTAATATCATACACGAGTCTCGTAGCTCTGATCCATGCTCACCTTGCATTACTTTCATCTTAAGCTCTTGGACGTTGGTATACGCCATCAAAGGCTAATCTGATCACTTCCGATTTCAGAACATTGGCAAGCATGAATTTGACTGGTCAGATGTCTGGAGACATCCAGGAGTTCGCTAAATTACAGATTTTGTAGGTCTTCTATTTGCACTTAACTCTTCTGTTTGTACATTTGTATACGAAGAAAATAAAAATACTTGATCATTTGGTATAGTTAGTATATTGTAAGGACTTAATTTTGTGTCAAATCATCTATTTATTTTTCATTTGCTGTCGATGATAATTTTTCTATCATACAAAGCCTTTACGTATAAGTAATTGTTTGTGATTTTTTGTTTGTTAAGTAGTGTCTTCAGACATGGATAATGTCTAGTTTATATAATAAAGTAGAACGAAATTTAAATTTTAAAAACAAAGAAAGGTCCAAATTATTTTAAGATTAAATATAAACAAATTTAACGGACAACGTAATTCCAAAAAAAAAAAATTCTAACTTTCTCAAAAATTTTGATTTAACCGTGTCCAATGATTACCGAATTTTATTTTCCGCCCAACGACCTGAATTACGCCTCTCTCTCTCACGGGTCTCTCTCTATCTCACGCCTCTCTCTCTCTCCCACTCCCAAGAATCACGCTTCTCCTCCCCAAAACTACATCATATCCTATCTTTCTCCCTCTCTCACCGATGGCATTCAAAATACCACCTTTCCATACCGGTGATATTTCGCTGATATGTCCATTGTCGCCAGGGAGAAGAAGCAAATATAGAGGAGGAGGATTATTGTGGGCAGCAGATCTGTTGTTCCTGAGAGCCTATGAGTTCGTTTCTCTATTTCTATCCCCTTTTTGTTTGAGATTTTCGTATATCCGTATGTATATGCACAAATAATCTCTATTTTTTATGTCTGGGTTGCGAATTTGTGATTGCCTTTATGCTTCAAAATTCACGTTTTGGTTAGGAATTAGTGCATGAGGTTAGATCTTCCATGGGCAGGCAGTGTTGTGAGTTCCACAAAATCTTCAAGTTGTTGAACTCTTAGATTCGTCAATTTTTCAGCACATTGATTTCCTTCACGAAGTGTATGTTGAATTTCAATTTGCCTGTTCTTCATCAATTCTTTGCATTTGTGGAAGAGGACTTTGTTAGGCAAGTGGTCCTCTGCTTGATTCAACAGAAGACAGCAGGCGTCTTCTGAGTCCGTTTCAACAATAGCTTTAAAAATTGAGAAATTTAGAGACCAAAGCGATTTTGAGTGAGGTTGCTTATGTGAATTGTTATAAAAAAAGGCTGCAAATTCTGGAGTGTTGGGTTACTAATGTACAAATATGAGGCGCACTAATTCTTTGAGATCGCTCTTTTGAAATGGGTAGTGGGTGCCTTTTGATGATTTTGTGTCAAAAGGCCATTATTCACTCAGTCCCTGTTATCGGAGGCAGTCCGAGGGATGGGTTGGTGGTTCAAATGCCCAGAGTTTCGTTTTTCTTCGATGGTCTTGGTTCTTAGTTGTTCATTTACTCCTTTTATTGTGATCTTTCACCAATGAGAATGCGTTGATTGATTGATCAGTGTTGGTGTTCTTCATCTATAGCCTTTCAATTCTTTGGTTGATAGGTAGTTGAATCTTTTGGTTTTCTGTAACTGTTCCTTTTAGACAGTCAAAATGGCTGGATCAGATGAGAACCAGATCTGGGTTCCTTCAAAGTAATTTGAATTTCTGAACCAGTTTCTAGACGCATCTTCTCTTGGATTAGTTCCTGTAGATAGCCCATTTGATTGTTTGTATCTGAAATTAAATCTGGTTCTAAAAGCCTGATTTCCGAACTGGCCTTTTCTTTTGTTAAAAATGGATGCTTACGAGCAGGGAATGTGAAGTTCACAGCGGGTATTGGGCAAAATTGGAAGGCATTGAGCACGATAAATCCGAACATCGTCGGAGCTGCACCTTACCCATGTGCCATCAACAATAGAAGTGGCTTGCCAAAGTAAATTTCTTGAATATTCTTTGGGTCACCAGTGGTCTTTCTTATTATCTTTCATTTCAGTGACCAATTTTTACCTGTTCTTTGTTATCAATATTCGGGAAAAACGTAGTCCCTAATAAGAATCTGACTCATCCTGTGCACCGACCGATTACTAGGTTGATTATTGCAATTTTTCTGGTGTTTTGAATTTCTTAATAAAAGTTTACAATTTTCATAGTTAAAAAACAAAGTTCAAGAAACAACTTAAGGCTACTGTTTTTCTGCAGCTAAATGCAATATATTCCATTTTTGCTATTAGTTACATTAAGAAAAACTCTACATTATATCCATAGTACAAGTATACAACTCTACATTAAACTGTTACTTCCTTGCCTATTAATACATCTTTTGAGTTTAGTAGGGAAAAATCAGGAATTCCAGAGGTTGCTTATATACTCTGCTTTGATCTAATAATCCCCCTTTCTTTGCTTGCCCAATGACTGGCAGGATTTGGTTTATTGGTTTTATGTGGGTAATGGGTTGTTTGATTTTTTCATAATTCCTTGGATTTTGATTGTTTTGTACAGGTTTCAAAGTGGCCTGAAAATTGAGTGAAATAGTTAATCAGTAATTCACTGATGAATCTATGTAATGATCCATGTTGTTGAAGTAACTTGATTTTGTTTAATTCATAAGTTTGGTTGTTTTTTGGAATTTTTTTTGTGTGGGGACTGTTTAGTTTGTGATTTTATGTGGTCTCCAAAGTGGCATATTGTTTGAGTGGTGGTTGAAGAGTAAGTATTCGTTATATAACTTGGGTGCAATATAAGTTGAAGATTGCAATTGGTTTCACAATTTGTTTGTTTTTTAGATAGTAGAATGTGTAATTAGTATTTTATTAATTGCCTATAAGTTGATAATCTATTGGGATCATATTTTTAGGAGAAATTATGTCCAAATATTTTTAAAAGAACAAAATAAATATTTTTAGATTAAATAACATAAATGGTACATTCAGGTTTTAATCATCTTTCTAATAACTGAAACGAAAGCATTCTAATCATTTTTTATTTTACTAAAGTCAGGACATTAAAAATGACCAAACGATTTTCAGTTTAATGTGTGTTTATATTTATTGTTTGATTGTTCCATGTTTAAGAATTATGTACATTGTCTTTAGACACATGATATAGGACGAGTTTAGGTTTTCAGTTTAATATGTGTCCAAATTCAGTGCTTGAATATTTCGCGCACTGAATGACCACAAAACTTGGTCTAATTGGACTTCAAGTCTAACCCCTTACCTAACTTAAACTCTAGGACTCAATTGAATGTTGTCCGAGTCATGTAAAAAGGCTTTAGAGTAACAACAACATCAGCACCCAACTCAGTATTTTGTGCATTAAACTTATTAAACACAAAGAACTCACTGAGTCATAAAATGGTATAGGAGTGATTCGCCATGACGAATTCTGAGAAAAGGGTCAGTAAAAAGCTAGTGCACAAGTCTTTGAAAGTCCTTAATTTCTTGGAAGACCAAGCTTTCAGCTTAATTCCCAAGGATTGCAATCCACCCCTAATAGCCCTAACCTAGCCAGGGATGTGAATCCTTCATTCAACATTTCCTTGTGTGTGTGTGTGTGTGTGTGTGAGAGAGAGAGAGAGAGAGAGAGAGTGGTAGTTACTTTGTTAAGATCAATTAAAAAAATGATAGTTGTTATGTTCATTTAGACAAATACTTGTTGCGTCGAGAAACGAAACCTTGTATATAATAAGTGATGCAAAAAAATTTGCATTGCCAAATAACTGTTGCAAAAAACCCTGGCAAAAAAAGTGTTTGAATTCGACTATCGTGATACATTTTGTCATTCTTTCGAAGGTTTTGTTCCGAATCTTTCTTAAAAATTCAAGGTCTTTCTAAAAATGACTTCAAGATTAAGCTCCTCCAAAAGGATACAACCAACACAAAGTGATTTATAGTCCAGTCAAGAAAACAATTTCTGGGGAGTAGCATGAATTGGACTTAGATTCTGATACGTTTTTGTCTCCCATAGAAAGCCTTTGAATCGAATGTGAACATAAGGGGAATGGGAACACTAGAAAGTGGTAATGTCACAACCAATCAAATAAATAAATATTTCACCAAGTTGACTGCAGCATATAAAAAATTTATAAAGGTATCAGCTGTTGCTAGTTGTTCTAAGAATTTACAAGTACCATTGCACAAGCCAAAAAATGAGTGTTTACACATAACTTGTACCAGCTAAACCCAAAGACAAATGCTTTCGTATTTCAGTCAAATGAAGATGACATCAACCCTTTTACCTAACTTAAAACTTCTGAGTGAATCCAATCCAGGCCTGAGTTGTGATTACATGTGCTCAACTCAGCCGGGTTGTTTCAGTTTCGACCAAGGCACAAAGCTTAAACAATAAACACGAGAATTTAGGTAATTTGATAAAATTCTATCTATATTCAGCATAGCGGTTGTTTTCACTATATCAGAATCTTAAAAGACTTGCAAGTTATATATATTGGTATCAATAAGCACAACTCCGTTCTCCTCTTCCCACAAATGATTGGACTTTTAGACCTAGTGAATATGAACCATTCATTATTTTCAACATAAACTTATACGTCCTTAATTTGAATCTCTCTTGCTATATAAATCCAAGTTTAGCCATGAGTGTGATTTGTAGGTCATTTTGTGTATGTGAGTTTTATCTTGCAATTAAACACGTGATTGAAACAATTCTCCATCACAATAAAAAAAAAAAAAAGAAATCCTCAACTCGGTTGGATTGGGTAGGAAACTCAGTCTTATCCGAAAACAAACACATTGATCACAAAGAAAAAAAAACAAAAGAGAAAAAAGTATTACAATTTGCAAGTCAACCAAGTAAAAATAGATTAAAATGATGAGTAAAGTCTACCCAAGTATGTTATATGTCATTAAAAAAAGACCTGAGTTGACCAAGTAGGCTACAAATGTGACCATGTCCTAGGTCATTCTAAAGGATGCATAGAATATTATCTTCCCCATCATTCTTCCATCTTCCAAATTCCAACCCATTTCATAACAACCATCACCAGCTTCATCAATCCAAGAACAGAAGTTCCATGGCCATCCCTCTATCCATTATGATGATGTCCTTCAAGGGACACAGGCAAGACACATTCCTATCCAAAAACCCTGTTCCAACTCCAATTTTCAATAGAAAATTGATGTTCCAGGCACCATCAAGAAGAGAGAGAAGTAGAACACTGGGAAAGAACAGTGTGGTATGTAAGATCAGTGACTCCTCCTTACACCAGGGTCCGGAGCTAGCTAAAGATCCTAAAGGAATATTAGCAGACACTTGGAAAGAAATTCACGGCGAAAACAATTGGGCAGGCATGCTTGATCCCATTGATCCCCTCTTGCGATCCGAACTAATTAGATATGGGGAGATGGCACAAGCCTGTTATGACGCATTTGATTGTGATCCATACTCCAAATTTTGTGGCAGTTGTAAAATCAAGCCTGACAAGTTCTTTGAAAGTCTCGGATGGACACAATGTGGATATGAAGTGACCAGCTATCTCTATTCAACTTATAACGTGAATGTACCAAATTTCTTCAAAAAATCTCTCTGGCCAGACGTATGGAGTCATGTAGCAAATTGGATAGGCTATGTGGCAGTGTCAAATGATGAAACATCGGCTTATTTAGGCCGTAGGGACATAACAATTGTTTGGCGTGGGACAGTTACAAAGCTCGAGTGGCTTCAAGACTTGATGGATTTTCTGCAGCCAGTTTCATATCGAAAGATTGCAAGTCGCGATCCATCGATCAAAGTTGAGGCTGGGTTTCTCCATTTTTACACCGACAAGGACAAGAGTTGTGATTTCTGCAAGTACTCTGCAAGAGAGCAACTTCTAGCAGAAGTCAAGAGATTGATTCAGAAGTATGCAAATGAAGAATTGAGCATAACCATAACAGGGCACAGTCTAGGCAGCGCACTTGCAGTTCTTAGTGCTTATGACATAGCCGAGACAGGGCTAGACTTGAAGGAAGATGGGCAGGCCATTCCTATAAGTGTATTTTCATTCTCCGGGCCACGAGTCGGGAATTCGAGGTTTAAGGAGAGGCTGGAGGGGCTGGGGGTGAAGGTACTGAGGGTGGTGAATGTTCATGACAAGGTGCCTAAGGTACCTGGATTCTTTCTCAATGAGCAACTGGCTCCAGTGCTGCGGAAGATAGGAGAAATGTCCCCATGGTGTTATTCTCACGTGGGAGAGGAATTGGCTTTGGATCACACCAAATCTCCATTCTTGAAAGACAAGAGCGACCTGGCATGCTTCCATAACTTGGAGGCTCACCTGCATTTGCTTGACGGGTTAGTAATTCATTTCTTGACACATTTTAGATAAGAACAATAACTTAGTCACGTCATAACATATTCAAATCGTGTCAGTTCGGATTCATGTCGAGTAATAGTTAATCAATTGTAACCCCACTCATTTACTTAATCTGTAAGATGTCCCACAACTTTACCAGCCTATTTATCAATTGTTTCGTTTTTTAGGTTGACATACCTAACCCCTAAATAGAAAAAAATGAGGCTAGTACCTCATTCTCTTTCAACAAACCTTTACACCCATAGACCAAGGCAAAACGAACCATTCTATATCCTAAGAAAACCAAGTAAAAAATCTGTAATTCTACAAGGGATTGATTCAATACCTTACGAAATGGAAAGAAGTGAAAACAATCGATCATTTCAAGATTCAATACTATTAAATGCAAGTATGGTGTCAAAATCATATTATTTGTGTTAGCAAATCATGAAGAATGAATAATCTAATCTTTGTTTTCGTAACTGGACAGGTACCATGGGAAGGGTAGCAGATTTTGGCTTGCTAGTGGAAGAAACATTGCACTGGTGAACAAGACTTCTGACTTCTTGAAAGATCATTTATTGGTGCCACCAAACTGGTGGCAAACTGAGAACAAAGGGCTGAACAGAAACCATGTCGGTCACTGGGTTGTGCCTGAGAGGCATGATCTTGAAGACCATTTGCCTCCACAAGATTTACACCATCATCTCCAGAAACTGGGTCTCGTCGTCGACCACTAATCTCCCTCCGGCCATGATTGGAGAATTTGAAGGTTTTTAAGGTTAATTGTGTCAGTGATTCTTTCAGAACGTAGGTACTCTTGTGATTTTGGTGGTTGTGCTTTATTCTTTGGGTGCATGAGATTGTTTTTCAAACTCGAACTCAGAGCTCAAATAATTGGCTACCATAAAAGTTTGTGGAATGTAACATAGGCTTAATTTTTTTCAATAACAAAGAATCGTTCAACTACAAAAACTACATTTATCAAGGACTCAACTTTACAACATCAAAATATCATAGTCATCAATTTGTTTCACTCGAGCTAACAAGAGTACTTTGAGATGAGGTTTAATTAAACTACTACCAAGTCTAGTCCAGCATACAAAAAAATATATAATGAAATGGGAAAGATTCTACACTTTTTCTCATTTTTTATAGAGGGATAGATTAATTGTTATGAATTCAGCAAGACTTAAATGATATAACTCAACCAATATTCTATTGATAATGAATATATGATGAAAAAACAAATTGAAACTTGGCCACTAATACTATTTGGATATTGGGTTTGTTATGGGTCCCAACAAATACTGAGGTTTATTGTCAATCTAATGATTATGAATAATTAGGCCAGTAAATTATATCTAAGTAGCATTGCTAGTTACAATAAAACTACCCTATGTAGTTAGATTTTTAGGTGTAAATAGTATTACTACCGATAAAAACTAAATAAACGAGCATCCAATGTGAGCAATTCTACTGGGACTTATTTGTTAACATAATTCACTATAGTTATTAGATTGGTGGGATTCAATCAAACATTAATTTTTAGTGTTAATCCAACGGTTACAATAAAATTGTATAATTAAGTCAACAAATTTAATCAAATTTTTAAGTCTCAATTGAATTACTCATCCAAATTAGGCCAGTCAATTTTGGAGACCATATGAGAATTGACAGATTCAAGCTGAATCTTAGTAGTTCAAATTGACATATTAGACTTGTCAAATAAATAGATAGATACAAAATTAACTGAATAAATACATGATTTATACTCAACATGGATTCATTTATACACCAATACAAATGAATAAATGTGATGAACCCAAAATCAATTGGGCCAGACCCAATGAATCAAGTAAGCCCCA